TAATCTTCCTCCAACAATACCCCCCAATAAAACATGTTCCGTCCGTAAACGGATATATCAAAAATCAAAACATAATTCAAGTCAAATATCATATCAGAATCCATGTCAATATCAGATCAGAATCCAGGTCAGGATCATAACATAATTCAAGTCGGAAATCAGATAAAATATTTATATGATTAGGGAACACACCAGAGTTTACAGATATTATTCAGAGGTATTGGATAATCTTAACAGGTAGAGAAACATGAATATTCAGTATACCGATAGGATATCGGAATTTAGAATCACTATTTGAAAGAGTTCATTAACTGACAGAATCATCAGTTATTTAGAATGTGAATTATCAGGATATTATCTTATTCGGACAGTTTTCAGAAGCTGTACGTAATCAGAAGGGTATTCGGAATCCTTTACATCCATGTCGATTGATCGGATAATCGAACAACTTGAGAACGAAGATTCAGAACCTTAACAATCTATGTCGACCGGTCAATTCATTTTCCTTCTAGGGTATTTACTCTTTAATACCACAAATTCTTGTCCGTAGACCATTTTCGGAATTATCGCTGAATAAATCTTCCAATGACTTTATTTCATTTCCACACTTCCACAATATCATGAAATGTTGACGTACTTGATTAATTTGTACATAACACATTGTAATTGTACACTACGTAAACTCATCAGAGTTTCCAGACTTATCCAAATCACTTACTAAATCCTCAGTCATTGAGGTTACCTATTTCATTTAGCAGTCATCTCCATTCCAGTTACTTCAGAATTTTCCAGAGTAATTCAAACGTTCCTGAATTTCAGATACATGTTGTACTTCCATCCCATTCAATTTGGTCTTCGTGGTTGATTGTTGAACAAACGTCCAATTCTTAGTACTGAATACGATCTAGATCTGAGCTGAACTGAATACTTCCAAGATTCGTCATCGAGCCAAACTTGAGAAGACGAACATATGTTCCAGTAATATCTATGCCATTCAGGTATTGACATAGCTTTAGGGTTGATCTACTCACTTAAATTATTTTCCATTACCTTTAAAGGTAGTCCAATACCTATGCTTAATTGGATTCCTTAATTAATCCAAGACATTTACTTAGTATAGGCCATAAGGGTATTTTGGTCATTTTTGGTGTTCAGTTTTATTCCATTCATTTCAGAGCTCGAGGATATCCAATCATTCCTGAGCTTGGTGATATTCTTGGGTCATTTCTATTATAGGGGTATTTTGGTCATTTTACAGATCCACGGTATTTCAATCTTTTTCCTCAATCCGATCTTATTATTTAATTCCAATTTATTATCTATTCCAGTCCGTTCGAACAATTCTGATAGCAGAATACCCCCGATAAATTACTCTTCAAGTATTTACTCATTACTTGAATATTTTCAGGTCAAGTGTCTTCTCAGACTTTACAAACGGAATATCAAGAATTTTCTTGTACTAAGTCGGGATCTTAACAATTAAATCCGTACTTAATCGAGTTAAGTACGAATCCTCTAAGTATTTTCTCATTCAAAGTCAACTCAGACTATTCTACCTCTTAAGGGCATTTCCGTAATTTCTTAACCAGAAAATTTCGATATTAGCTCTTAACGAAAATAAGTATAATTTAGAGATCCTATGATTAATTGATTTCTTGAACACTCTCTGATCTTGAAATGATTCCCTTAACAGACTTCTAGTATCCTTCACAAACCCTCATAAGACTAAAAACCGGTTATCCGCATTTCCTAATCAAAACTAGCATTTCTTATGCACATCAATAGTTTTTACCAGATCAATATATCTTTTCAGAGTTATTAACCAACTTCCAGGGACAATTCTTATCATCTTACAACATAAGGGTATTTTCGTAATTTTACCCTACCAGATTATTCTCACAATTTCTCATCCAAGTACTTTTAACATTTAACCTTTGATGAAATAAATTATAAGTTGCAGATACAGGGTTGATTTCTTTATCACTAATCACAAACTTATAATTTAATCTAACAATTCCGCAATCTCTTATATTAGTCATTCGATCCGTATTCAGTTACAGAATTTCTACCACATTCATATCGAGTGAATAAATTATTCAACTCCACAAAAGTGACCAACATTATCTTATTCATGCATTTACCAATATCAACATGTTCCATAAAGCATAAAGAGGTAGTAAAGTATTACCTCGATTTCCGTGCAATACTGATCGACCATAAAAATTCCATTCGAACGCCTTTGATCTTCAATTCAACTTCCAATAATTCCTCAGATACATATCAACATAAATTATATCAGAAACGAAGCTTAATTACGATAAACGGATCGAATTGGGTGATAAATCAGTGAAAGACGGCTTACCGGGTTCGAGTTTGGCGAAACGGACTTCGGATTCGGATTCAGAACGTCGAAAGCATAAAATATGACTTTTCGGAAATTTGAAATATTCGGTCAAAATCAAAGTCAACGGGTTTGACCGGCAATTTCGAGGTCTTCGGGTTCGAATTTCGAAAAACGGACAGCGGAATCGGATTTGGAACGTCGAAAAATGTCAGGATAGGTATACTCGGTCGAAGTCAAAGGTCGTTTAATGCTCGATCAAAGCCGGTCAAAGTTTTGGTCAACAGTGGTCAACGTGGGTCAACGGTCAACGGGTCAACGGTCAACGGGTCAACGGGTCGGGTCAACGGGTCGGGTCGGGTCAACTGGTCGGGTAAACGGGTCGGGTAAACGGGTCGGGTCGGGTCGGGTTATGACCGGTCAAACCGGTCAACTATCCACTAAAACCAGTCACTTTTGTCTTCCCCACGCGCAGTGGCGGCGCGTGGGGGCGCGTGGGCACTGTTCCGGCAGTGTAAAATTCACAGAAAAATTTCTAAAAATTATTTTGAGCGATTTCGAGATACTTACAAAGCTCGGTTCACAATTTTGAACGGCGGAGAGCTCGATTTTGAAATGTCGGAAACTTTGACCGCTTCACCTCCACACGCGCTGCCGCCGCCGGAGAAAAAGGAGAACACCGGTGGACTCGGAACGGCACAAGGAACACGATGGTGCGGGAGGTGTCGTAAACAGATGACCCGATCGTCGTGAATCGATGAAAAACCAACAAAAACCGAGTTATTACCGACGATACTTTCGACAGAAATTAACGACGAACGACGACGATTCACGATGAAAGGTTTGAGGGGTTTTGTTCCTCGGTTGGCAACGAGCACGGTGGTGGTTTCGGCTCGTCGATCGGAGGTCAGACGGCGAGTAGATCGGAGTTGAAAGGAGGGTAGTTGGAGAGGGAAAACTGGAAAATTTTCTCCTGAACCTGCGCACGGGGAGAACTTATAATTCAACATATTAAAAAAATGGTTAAATCATGGGTTTAGCCACTGAATTTCCTGCACTTCTTAAAATGGTCTTCCAACTTTGAAATCTTGTAATTTAACCCACTGTTTCTTTCAAAACATCAAATTAAATCCACCACTTTATAATTTCTTAAATTTAGCCCCTAAATTGGGGTGTTACAAGAACCATAAAATGTGACTAAGCTATTGAAAGACAAATGAATAAATTTAGTTTGTCTACATCGAATAAATGTGACTAAGCTAGTGAAAATGTGACTAAATCCAAAAATAGGTACACAAATAAATTTGATTACATCGACAAACGACCATAAAATGTGACTAAACTATTGAAAGACCATCGAGAACCGCAAACAAAAGCCAAACGTCATAAGAAACTATCAATGAAAGCAAAGTCATGTATCTAAGTTCAACGTGAGAGTTCATAGCAAGGAAGATCAACAATAATTCAAATAAATGTCATCTTGATAAGTTGTGACATCGTCAAATCTAATAATAAGAAAATATAAAAATAAAAAGAATGACTAAACGATCGGGAAAAGGATGAAAAGTGTACCACAAAGATATAATAAATGTGTTATAAAGGTGCAATTATTTTTATTAAAAGTATTAAAAAATCAAAGAAAAAACCTAATGATGACTACCTAACTTTAAAATCAGTGTCACCAACAGTTAAATAAAGTAAAAAAAATTCTAACCTATAAAAACAACATAAACTTAGAAAAATGAGTGGATCTTTTTAAACTCGTGTAAGATAACAAACGAAAGAGTGTTGTACTTGAGTTATATTCGAGTGAATCAAAATCTCAACTTATTTCCACTCATAATCAACTTTATATATATATATATATAAAAGATCGAACGAACCTAAATGATAACAAAATATCATATCAATTATTGAATTTAGGATAAATTGAGTGTCTGGTCTCTAAGCTATCAATTTTAGTTCATTTTGGTACTTAAACTTTCAATTCTTTTAAATTATACATAACGTTTAGTTTTTTATTTCATTTTAGTATATTGTCATTAAAAACTTAAGAGACAAGCTAACGTGACATAACTTCGGTGGATAAACGACCAATTCGAATGGGGGACCATGAGAGAATGAAGAGTTGACCAACATAGTTCAATTTCAGATCCATCAGACAGTGGTCCATAGAGATCAAAGGATTAAAAAAGTTGAAGAGTCTATCATCAATTGTGGGAGCTTGAGGTGTTTTCCTGGTGAAATAGAGATTGACATCATGTTTAGGGGTCGAAAAGGTACAAATTGAGAAAGTTTACGTTTCATCGACCGCCGGTTGGTGACTATAGACATGACGGCTGATGAGCTCGTCCATTAAATTTTTAACTACAGAGTATTAAAATCATACACAAACTAAACATTAGGTATGATTTAAAAAAAAATTTAATTACTAAAACAGGTCAAAAACTAATAGTTAAATACTTAGTTTAGCCTTAAATTAATAAAGTTGACACAGATTCCTAAGAAATTTTCCGATTTTCCCGCTTAACAAATTAATTCAAAAATTTCATTCCCCCCCTTTAATTTTAGAAGCCACCGACGAGTCAATATTAAACCCTTAATTTCCCCTTCCCTTTTCATTTCCTCAGCTGCAAGAGTCATTTCCCTCCTCTTTCTCCATAACTCTCAGTTTAACCCTTCCAGCCGGCGCCGGTCCGCCGGCTTAATTCTCCGGCACTCCGTATATATTGGTCTGAACCCATAGAGTACCGTCGTTTTGGGCAAAGGATTCTTCTTTATCAATCCAATTCGTCATGCCGGGCACGCGGAAATATTCTAATCTCATGGAGGAGGCAGGTTCGGTCAAGAAGCCGACTCGGTCAAGCCAGCGGAATCGAAACACCATCTTAAAGCCGGAAAATGATGAAGCCATCGATATCATTGAAGATGAAAGCAGTGAAGTCTCTCGTGGGGGTAAGCGCAAGCAAAGCTCTGCCTCTGGAACTGCTAACACTTCCAAGAAGTCAAAACCGAGCCTGGAAAAAACGACTCCGTCCAATTCGAACAATGATGACGCCGTCCTCCATGACGGTAGCAAGTGCGAAAGCAAAACGCCGACAGCAAATTTGAAAAAGACGAGAAAAAAACCCGTTGTTGATGGTAACGCTGACGGGGAAACCATGTTTATCGAAAAACCTATCGCTGATTCGGAAGCAAGACAACGATGGCCGAAACGATATCAAGGAAAGGTACAACCGTATAAGTACCATATCATTTACATTTTTGAAAAAAATAAGTTGAATGTTTTGAAAATTCTCATTTGTTTATCCTCACTTCTTCTGTCATTAGGGAGCACAACGGGTTGTTACAAAGGTTTCCAACGAGTAAGCATATGCAATTTTCTATAATTTTTTTATATTGCATTTATTTTCTAATTAATTTAAAGGCTGTTTATTACTTATAAATAATAATATTATTGTTATTATTATTTGGATAATTAATTAAAGTATATTTTTTACTTAATTATTAAATTATTTTTTATTGAAATAAGTATTTAAATGTATCTTTTGAGTTAAAATTGTTATCTAAAGTATTTTTGGTTAAAATATGTAAATAAAGTATTTAGATTTTTTTCATCTAACTTCTAAAAATGTTTAAATGTGGTATTAATCAAAGAATACTTTTAAGTATTTAGTTGAATAAAATTGAGTACTTTAGATATTTATTTTGATCAAAAAATATTTTAGATATTTATTTTAACTTAAAAGATAAGTTTTAAATACTTATTTTAATTAAAAATATTTTAAATATTTAAATAGAAAATAATATATTTTAAGTATTTGTTTGTTTTATAAACCAAATAATTACAAAGTTCTTATATGGTAACCCCGTCCCCTTATTGCATCAGTAGAGCAACTATACAGACCCTACTAGAAGTTATTCTACTAACAATTACACATTTTTTTTCCATGAACAGACTCAACCTGCCTATATTTGTTAATCCGTATTAGTATTTGATCAAATCGAGTCAAATATTTTTGAACTAATTGTGTTGATAAGTAATATATAATAATCTAAATTTTAGTTGATTTTTTTAATTGAGTTTATTTGAATCGAGTTGAATTGTTTGGATTTTTGTTATTATACTAATTGTTTCAATTTAGTTGAGAGTCAAGTTTTAATCTTGAAAATCAATTTACTAACTTTGAAAATATTAAGTTATTTAACTTTTTTAGTTGAGACAACTTTACAAAACTAGAGTCAAGTCAAATTTAATTGAGTATATAAATTATAGTCAAATCAAATTGAATTAAATGAAAAGATTCAATTTTATTTAATTGAGTTGAGTTTTACGCATCCTAATAAAATGAAAATTTGTTTATTTCTTTCCAAATCTCATAGATGTAAGAATTCCAAGATATTTTAACTATAGTAGACATCAACGGTTTTTCTTTTCAATGCTTAAAAGCCCAAGAAGTCATCTCCTGACAAGGTTAAAATAATCAGTTTTTACAATTTGCCTCCATAACAAGACTCAACAGTTTGCTTTTCATAAGCGCATTCTGAAAGGATATGGTCCCGGGTTTCATCAGAATCCTCACACAAAATACATTTTGAATCTACATGGAGGTTTCATGATAATTGTCTTTCCCTCGTTCGTATTCAAAACATAAAGGAGTTCCTTGGGATGGCAGGGCCTCCTCGGACCACTTTATACCAAGGGACTTTACCTCTGTCTTATCAGCTCCTAACCTCGTTAGCTTTGAAACAATCTGATTTTGGGTTCATCTTCTGCAGCAAGCGTGAGTTTTAGTAGGTTTTCCATGACTAGCAATGCCCTTGCCTTGACAATAGCATAAGATATCACCTTTGAGAGTGTAGGCATCCACCTATGGAATCCATATGGAACTTGCCTGTGAACAAAAGCCACATTTTTTTTTATAATGCAAGATCAATTCCATTCATGGAGATCTTTAAACTCTAAACCACCTTCATCCTTGGGAAGTCAAACGTTTTGCCAACTAGTTATTGCCTTCGCAGCAGAACCCTCTTACCTTTCCACAAAACAAAATGCTGAACAGAGCCTGTTAACTCTTTCCTGCATAAAAAACAAAATAAAAGAATTTGGCTTTTTCAGGCGAAAAGGTTAATGTTCATATCTGCATGAATAGTGAATGGACATCTTTTCGTGGAAACATAAATGTGAAGAGTATTTGTCTCGACATTTTAGATTTTTTGAAGTATAACTTTTTGGTATAGTTTTCAGAATATGTATCTTTAGCCTTTCAATTTATATTGTACAGCGGCTCTGATCCAGAGGTTATTATTCAAGCTAGTAGGCACTATACACAGGCAAAAGTGGATGGTTGTGTGATATATAACCTTTACGATGATGCCCATGTCAAAGTCAGTATATTTTTCATATTTATTGTGTATTTTTTTTCTAAATTCTTCTACAATATTTATAATCTTAGTCTTGTGCATTTTTTGGATTGATTCTTAGCTATTCAGTAACTATAATTTTATTTAATTGATTGTTAATAATTCCTCTCAAAATTTTTATCATCCCTAGAATTGGATGTTGTTAACGTTCTATTATGATTATGCATCCTTTTTGCCCGTATCGTTGTGCAAGGTGCTAGATGATAACCGGTAGGCATGGTATGTTTAGGTTATCTAGCACTTGTTATTCTGGGTTCTTTTTGATAAATGGTTAAGCCTTTGAGTAAGGGCTGCATGGACTTTCTCATAGCTACATTGCTTAATCATTTTGTAACAAAAATGAGCCATGCTGAAAGGAGATTGTTCTGGACATGAGCCAAAGGCATATTTTTTGTATATGCAAATACCTGTACTTGTTTCATTAAGATATTGAGTGTTGTTTATGTCTAATTGAGGTGCATTCCATTTCTTTCACTAGGTCAAGTCTTCAACTAATTATATATCTTGTTAATAAATGTATAGGCTGAAGAAGGAGAAGATAACTATATATGTAAAATTGTAGAGATGTTTGAGGCAGTTGATGGAGACTTGTATTTTACTGCGCAATGGTTTTACAGAGCTCGAGACACTGTAAGGATATTCTTGTGCTTTCTTTCTAGTATTTTATTTTCTAACTTTGTCTTAACATTACATGTGATTCTTTTTCCAGGTGATGAAAAAGTTAGGGCACCTTATTGATAAGAAGCGTGTGTTCTTTTCAGAAATTCAAGATGACAATCCGTTGGATTGTCTTGTTGAAAAGCTTAATATTGTGAAATTATCATTGAATGTATGTTTCTTTTCTTGTACTTTATTTTTTCTTGGTTTGTGTCTTTTGTTGTTTCATCATGCTTTGTAGTTATCCTCTTTTAGGTCGACTCAGAGGCAAAGAAGAAAGAGATTCCTTCCTGTGATTACTATTGTGATATGCTATACAAGTTGGAATATTCATCTTTCACTAACTTGCCTTCAGGTAGTTATTTCTTTGTTTCTGCTATCTTTGTTTTCCGTTGCATGCCAAAGAACAGTTAAAAGTTGCTAATTTGTTTCAACTTTTAATATTTTCTTTTCTTTCTAATTATAGAAGAGAAAACAAATGTTAGTGAAGAAGCTTCATCAACAGTATCTGAAGACAATCTTGATAATGTAATTGGTGCAAATGATGGTCATAAAGATGCTTCATTGTTGGATTTGTATTCTGGTTGTGGAGCAATGTCTACTGGCTTGTGTCTTGGGGCAAATATGGCTGGTTTAAAACTTGTGACCGTAAGTTATTTCACAAGAATTAGATAATCATGAGTTTTAAGTGATTTATATATCCTTAAGATGCTTATCTTTTTTTTTTTGTTATTTGTGGAATGATTTTAGAGATGGGCCGTGGATATAAATAAATATGCATGTGAAAGTCTCCAATGGAATCATCCTGTAACAACGGTAAATTCCATTTATATAATTAATTTGTCATTTATTTTTATTATATACAACATGTAATAACTTTTGGAGCAATTCCTGATCTATCAGGTTAGAAATGAACCCGCTGAAGATTTTTTAGCATTGTTAAAAGAATGGGAACGGTTATGTGCTTCATTTTCTTTGTCAAAGTCTGAGGATTTGGGAAAGCAGCCTTTCAACTCATATGACAATGAAGATGATGACAATGATGAAGTTGAAGATGAAACTGGAAATGATAGTAGTGATGGTGAAGTGTTTGAAGTTGAAAAATTTCTTGCCATATGTTATGGTGATCCGAAGGAGAATGGAGAACGAGGGCTACATTTCAAGGTATTTAAGCTTTATAACTACGGTTACTTTACTAGAATAGTTAGTGCCATCAGTTCAAGGTTCTATAGAGCCTCTGTTTAACACGTGGCAATGTCTTTTCTTTGATTTATTTTGTTTAGAATTGTTTTCAAATCCTAGTTGTGGAACTACTTTTAGAACTTTAAATCTATCATCTGTATTTAGCTCCATGCATTGTACGCTAGTTTGTCCATTTACCTTGCGTACTGTTGCTTCTGATAGGTTCGTTGGAAGAATTATGGGCCAGAAGAAGATACTTGGGAGCCTTTAGAAGGATTGGGGTACGCAGACAGTATGATTGTGTATTTCATGCTTACATATGCAAACTTGTCTCTAAAATGTGACCCTTTTTAACAGTGATTGTCGAGAATGCTTGAAGGAATTTGTCACGGGTGGCTATAACTCAAAAAATTCTGCCATTGCCTGTAAGCTTCTCTTTGCTTCCGTATGCTAATTTTTTCCAGAACAATTTTATTTAATGAAACCCACATGTAAGTTATGTCAATTTGACTATTCATTAAGGGCTCTAAGAGAGTACATAAACTTCAAAAAATTAAACATGCTTTTCATATATATATTTGAATCTACACTCACACTCATGATCAAGTACAATAGCTTGTAACAAAACGTCTGTATAGACAATTGTTTCTCCATGTGTACATGTTAGTAATTGGCACAAATATTGATCTACGAACCTATTTTTTTCCCTGAATAATCAAGTTGTTTCAACATTACCTAGTAATTTCTAAAGTCCTCTAAATGTTTTACTAAATCATTTTGTTCTAGTTTACTTCCATGCAGCAATTCCATGGTCTAAACTCTAATCCTTTAAGTTGATATATTTAGAAACAAATGTGGAGTATTTCCTCAATTCACAGCATACTTGTTGCTTTTGTTATGACTTATGATCATAACTTTATTAAATTATTTTCTACTAGGGTGATGTTGATGTGATTTGTGGAGGGCCTCCATGCCAAGGCATCAGTGGCTTTAATAGGTTCAGAAACAAGGAAAACCCTTTGCACGATGAAAAGAACAAACAACTTCAGGTTTTCATGGACATAGTGGAGTACTTGAAGCCAAAGTACGTTTTAATGGAGAATGTTGTTGACATTGTAAGGTTTTCCGAGGGATTTCTTGGACGATATGCCTTGAGTCAACTCATTCGTTTGAACTACCAAGTCCGAATGGGAATGATGGCAGCGGGTGCTTATGGTCTTCCCCAGTTTCGTATGCGTGCTTTTTTCTGGGGTGCTAGTCCTAATGAAGTGAGTTTTGTTTTTTAGTACAGTAGATGAACTAAAACCATAATTAGGCCAAATACAAAAAAAGATAAGGTTAGAAACTATGTTTAATTGAATGTTTGCTGTTTCCAGAAATTGCCGCAATATCCACTGCCAACACATGATCTGATTGTAAGAGGTGTTATTCCTCTTGAGTTTGAGGTAACAAAATCCTTTGTCTTTGGTTTTATTTCTTATAAGCTTCCATATTCTCACAGTATTTATTAATATGCAGAATAACACTGTTGCCTGGGCTGAAGGGCAAAAACCAGAGTTAGAAAAGAAACTTCTACTAGAAGATGCAATATCTGATCTTCCACTTGTATGCACTAAGATTTTTTTTTAAGTTTCCTTCTTTCTTTGCCAGTTCATTGACCGACAAGTGATGTTTATCTGACTCAATTATGCATATAGGTTGGAAATTATGAGAATCGAGATGACATGGATTATGACAACGATCCTAAAACAGAATTTCAGCGATTCATTAGATTAAGCAGGGAGGGTAGGTAGACTTTACATATTTGCTACTTATTCACATTTTATAACCTATTGCAGTCTCATTTATTTATTTGTCCTGTAGAGATGCCTGGTTCTTCAAGTGCAAAATCTGGAAAACATTTGCTCTATGATCATCGTCCACTTCAACTTAATACAGATGATTATCAACGTGTTTGCCAGATTCCGAAGAGGAAGGTATCACTTTTTCATCCCAACTCATTCTGTCATATGTATTCTATTAGATGCTTCTTTACTTACTAACTGTATTCGTCTCTTTTGCATTCCATTGATTTAGGGAGCAAATTTCAGAGACTTATCAGGTGTTCTAGTTAATACTGATAACAAGGTGCAATGGGATCCTAATGTGGAGAGGGTTTACTTGGAGTCAGGGAAACCATTGGTATTCTTTCCATTTCCAGTTGTTAACGTTCTCTTATACGTTCCATAGCATTTATGTTGCACACCATATTTGTGTTGGATTGATACATATGTTTGACATTCACACTTGACATGCTTACATATCTGTCTCTTCTCAATGCTGGTTTGTTGTGTTGTATGACATTTTCATAAACAATTACAGGTCCCTGATTATGCCATGAGTTTTGTTGGTGGATCATCAAGCAAGTGAGTTGTTTTTCATGTATTTTCTCTGATAAATAAATTGTTTGAATCTAATAACCTCACTCATGAAATTTTGTAGACCATTTGCTCGTCTATGGTGGGATGAAACTGTACCAACAGTGGTCACCAGGGCAGAACCTCATAATCAGGTTATGATTTAAGCATATACGCACACTTGTGTTGAAAGAAAAGTTACCTCAAACTTGACTGAGATTCAATGATTCGATTGCCTTAACAGGCAATATTACATCCTGAACAAGATCGTGTTCTCTCGGTTCGTGAGAATGCGAGGTTACAAGGCTTCCCTGATTACTACAAGCTTTTTGGCACTGTTAAGGAAAGGTACATGTAAACAGAGAATGTTTGAAATACCTTTGCTCGAGTTCAGTCTGGAGAATGCTCGGAAGTTGTCGATCTATGTTACAATTTATGAATTTGAATTTGTACGTTGTAATAGGTACATTCAAGTTGGGAATGCGGTTGCAGTGCCGGTTTCTCGAGCTTTAGGATATGCCCTCGGATTAGCTTACCGAGGTGCTGTTTCCAGTGATGAACCATTGATGAAACTTCCTCAGGGATTTCCTAACGTTGCGGAGAAGATTTCTTCAGACTCCTCTCAAGATAATTCTTGACCCTTTTCTTCTATTGTTATTTAATCTTATTTAAATTGTATCGGATGGTAATGTATGAAAAACTAATGCAAGGAAATTTGAGTTGAGTTATTTTGTTCATCAAACTTATTGATATATTCATGAATATTTTCCTAATATTCTTCTGTCATGTTCGTATCAAATTCATTGCAATCACAACACTTAAAATTAAATATAAAATAAATGAAAATTTGGTTTAATTCGGGGGGTAATCATAGTTTTTATTATGCTAGTTTAATTGCCACTTTCTAAATATGGTTGTCATCCCAAACAATATAGAGAAGAAAGGAAAATAAATTCTTTTAATATTCAGCTAGTTTTTATGGGTTTGGGGTACAATATTTTTATATATTCATACTTTTAAACCAGCTGGCATAATTAATTTGTCCTCTTCCTTGACAAGTCTAGATGCAGTTACTGGGCTACCCATTTAGTTTAACCGGTTTCTCCATCTCCTGATAGGTGGACCCTTCATGGATTATGATAGCAGGTTGGGTCTTCTCATTCGGACTCTGATTTGACCCGGTAATCCTCTCCAATTTTCAAATAAATTTGCCCTAACCCTGATAGTTATGACAATTCCCCCTCCATCAACGAATCCTTGTCCCCAAGGATCGAACCCTGAGATTTCAAAATGGTGTAATCCTTCCGAGTGGCAGTGTCATCACAAAGATGATTAGTCCAATGTACCAACGGATGTGTCACTTCTTTTCCTGAGGTACTTTTCAAAAGGTGTTTAACGAAGCCCTTAGCTTCAGAAGACAAGGAAGGCCAAGTTGCTTCGATAAAATTCGAATCGGCTTTTGGGACTGCTCGAAAAATTCCAGATTCAGTCCTTGCCCAAAATAGACGACTACCACATAAAAGAATATATGTTATCACACCTATTCTCCAAACATCAGCTTCTGTACCATAACATCTATGGGGGGCACATGGTAAGCACTTGACAAAATCCGATAATCCAAAGTCTATGGCCTTGAGCTGAGAGTTCTCCTCCATACAGAAAGTTCTCTGGCTTAAGATCTCGATGCACCACATCCTGAAGATGGCAAAAAGCAACAACATTTAGTATCTGTACCATTACAGTCTTTGCAAGTATTTTATCCAAAATCTCGTCTCCTTCACAAAACTCCATTGTTATATAAACATTATCATGATCTTCAGACGCATCATAGAACTTGACTAAATTGTTATGTCCAGTCAAGGCTCTCAATACCTTCACCTCTCTTCTTACATCCTCAACTGCAATAGCTGTTGTCATCATGGATTTGGGAATGACTTTAACAGCAACCTGCTGGCCTTTGAACTCTCATTTCTTGAACTTAGCAGAACAAATATACCCAAAAGGCCCTCTGTCAACTTCTTCTCTTATTTGCAACTTGCTCCTCAGCTCCTTCAAAAACCTAAATGTTTTATCCAACTCTAGAGAAAGTTCAAAATACTTGATCTATCCATTACTCCACTCGTAAAACCAAAATGACTTGTTTGCTATTTTTCCGATGCATTGTTTTTAAACACAAACAGCTGAGTGACTGCATGAATATTCCTATTCATCATTTTATTCTCAAATTGCAATTTTGCAAAAGCATGCCCACCACAAGTGTATATCTGTGGAGGTGCATACCATTCATGGAGAACAACCGTGATCAAGATGGACTCTTTTTGATGACGATCTTTGCAGCTTATATATGCTAAAGGAACCCGAGCACCCCGAGAAAGCTTAGCATAGAGATTGGATCCTCAAGTTTTGACATTTCCGCACCAATAAATTTCTTGATGATGTCCAAAACAAGAGCTCTAAATAGTATACACCCAGGTTCTTAGACATGTGCAAGACCACATTGGGAAGACATGGGATGTATCATTGCGCTACTTCTAATAGGTGAGCATTAGATATCGAGTGTAAGTCTTGAATCGCTAATTGCACTCATTGGTGTGCCATTTCTTCCAATATGTAAGTCTATCTTTTGCTCGACAATGTCCTCAACTAAAGTGTCCAACTTCCACAACTGAGTAATTACCTCCCTATTAACATGAACAAGCACATCACCTAGCTCCAATTGATGATGAGTGTGACCACCTAGCACCACAGAATTAACAAGCATTCCAGTTTTTAACACAAAAACAACCGCTTCAACTTCTTGAATTTCTGGACATTTCCCAACAGTGAGAGTAAATGTTTCAAATTCTACACATTTTCTCTTTATTGATTTTCCATAACCCTTGCAAAACATAAGGTTTCTAAAGAACTCCCACAACTTTCTTGCTCTCTCCTCATGCAAGATCACATGCTTAATACCCAAGTAGTAAATATTTTGCAATTTCAGCATTGCGGATTGTAGACCCACACGTAGACATAACTCGGAAGAAATTATATCCAGTCCAAACAATTTCAAGCTCAACTCTGCTTCCATCCAACTCAAGTAACTCAGCGGCAAGGGAAAAACTTCTGGCAGCCTCAAGTAATTCCCAAACAAGACAACTCACCCGATTGAATTCAATTGCTAAAAAACCAACCTTGGGTAGCAAAACCTTGGAAAAAACTGCTGACAAAGGATTTAGAGATATACCCTTTGAAGAAGTGTAACCAATAAATCATAGGCCAAGTAAATTGCTTTTAGTTATCGCGAAATGATGTCCCTGTGTCAAAATATTAGAATGTTAATAAATTTAGTTAGTATTTATTATTCTGTTAGCACTTCAGTTAGTTAGCAGATTATTACTGAGCTATATAAGCCTAGCAATGTAAAGGATTAAATCAAGCCTCTGTAATCCATTTCTATTCAATGTTGGTAAACTTCATTCTCATTTTTTTGTTCTTTTCAGCAAACAATAATTATTAGTTTCTTTCTACAGTGGCTGTTGTCGTTCGACAGTCTCCGTTGTTAGGAAATAAACCGAGTACAAGTAATTTCCCTATAATCATATTAGTGAGAATGTGAAATAAAAGCGGAAAAATAATACCCGAAATTGATAACGGAGTTCAGCCAATTTTGCTTACGTCTCCGGACTGCTGCAGATCTTTTACTAAGAGAGAAATTTTACAGGTGTTTACAAAACACTCACTACTCACAAGAAAGCTCTCTAGTATTGGGAGAAAGAAATGATTTTTGGGATGATTTTCAAGCTAAATGAGCTAGGGTATTTATAGTTGAAACTTAGGGACTAATCTTGTAAATACCCTAAAGTTTAATGACTCAATTTTGTAATTATTCCTATTACAAAATAATTAAAAAATTTTAGCAGCCCATGTTTTTAATTCAAGCAGCCACCGGCTGCTAGCTTTCTTTGACCAACAATCTCCCACTTGAAGACTGATTTCAATATGTCTTCACACCTCGATCAATACAGCAGCATTTCTGGTATTTTATTCTAGCATGCCAACTGAAGCTGAACACAACTTCAGTTTGTCCGTAGTCACCGTCTTTGTTAACATGTCTACCGGATTTTGAGCTCCACTGATCTTTTCAAGATTCAAAATCCCATCTTCCAGAAGAGACCGGATAAAATGATATATATCGCAATTGTATGTGCTTCGTCCTGGAATGAAAAGACGGATTCTTTGCTAGATGGATAGCACTTTGACTGTCGCAATACAAGATATTGTTTTCTTGTTTCTTGCCTAACTCTTCCAAGAAACTTTGGAGCCAAATCATCTCCTTGCTGGCTTCCGTAACAGCAACATATTCTGCTTCAGTTGTGGAGAGAGCAACTATCTTCTGTAGTTGAGAAACCCAACTCACTGCAGTTCCTCCCAGAGTATAGACATACCCTGTAGTGCTCCTTCTGATGTCAACATTTCCGGCTAAGTCAGCATCTACATAGCCTGTCAGTATTGTATCTCCACCTTTGAAACAAAGTGCTTTGTCTATGGTACCCCGCAGATATCTGAGGATCCATTTGACTGCTTCCTAGTGTACCTTGCCCGGATTATTCATGTACCTGCTAACAACTCCCACTGCATGAGCAATATCTGGTCTGGTACAAACCATGGCATACATCAGACTTCCAATTGCTGAGGCATACGGCACCTTCACCATGTGTGCACGTTCTTCCTCCGTCTTTTGGTGATTGGTCTTTGGAGAGTCTGAAATGAACACCTAAAGGTGTACTTACTGGTTTAGCATCTTGCATGTTGAACCTGGAGAGTACTTTGTTGATGTACTCAGCCTGTGATAACATCAAAGTCACCGACTTTGTGTCTCTCTTGATCCTCATCCCAAGAATCTGCTTTGCAGCACCCAGATCCTTCATAGCAAACTGCTTCGACAATTTTTGCTTCAAGTTTATAATCTCTTGCATGTCTGATCCTGCAACAAGCATGTCATCAACGTACAATAATAAAATAATGAAGCTGTTTTCGAACCTCTTGATGTAGCAACAATGATCTGCTTGGCATCTGGTAAAACCACTGCTACTCATGAAACTATCAAACTTCTTGTACCACTGTCTAGGAGCTTGTTTTAGACCATACAAGCTCTTCTTCAACCTGCATACCAGGTTTTTCTTGCCTGCCTCTATGAAGCCTTCTGGCTGCCTCATATAGATTTCTCCTCCAAATCACCATGAAGGAAAGCTGTCTTTACATCTAACTGCTCAAGATGTAAATTCTCTGCAGCTACAATTTTCAACACCAGTCTGATTGTAGACAGTTTTACGACTGGAGAGAAAATTTCATTGTAGTCAATACCTTCTTTTTGCTGAAAACCTTTGACTACCAATCTTGCTTTGTAGCGTTTGCTCCCATCGTGCTCTTCTTTGATCATGTAAATCCACTTATTGTGGAGCTCTTTCTTGCTTGGTGGTAATTCAGCTAATTCCCATGTCTGATTTGACATAAGCTAGTCCATCTCATCTTTCATGGAAAACTCCCACTTGACTGAATCCTCCACTTGCATTGCTTCATCATAGCACTCTGGTTCACCATTGTCAGTCAGCAACAAGTAGTGTAAAGAAGGAGAATACCGTTGGGTTGGTTTAGGAATTCTGGAGGAGCGTCTCAGTTCTGGTGTGCCTGGTTCTTCCTCTTGAACTGCTTCAGGACTAATCTGAACATCATTTCCAGAAATCTCATCGAACTCAGCAAATTCCTTTGTTTTAGCTTCGGTATTACTTGATTCTGCGGTTGACCTGTCTTTGTACATCACATTTTCATTAAAAATGACGTCTCTGCTTCTGATGATCTTTCGATTTTCGTAGTCCCAAAACCGGTAACCGAACTCATCACCGCCGTAACCAACAAAGGCACATTTGTTGGACTTAGCATCAAGTTTACTTCTTTCAGCAGAGTCTATGTGTACATAAGAAATACAACCAAACACTCTTAAGTGTGAAAGGTTTATTTCTTTCTTGCTCCAAACTTCTTCTGGTATTCCGCCATCCAAAGGAACTGAGGGCCCACGGTTGATCAGGTAAGCTGCAGTGTTGATAGCTTCAGCCCATAGAAATTTGGGCAATCCGGCATGTATACTCATGCTTCTGGCACGTTCATTCAGAGTTTTGTTCATGCGCTCTGCTACGCCATTCTGCTGCGGTGTTATGGGAACTGTTGTCTCCATCTTGATCCCATTGTTTGCGCAGAAATCTCTGAATCTACTGTCTCTGCACTCTCTTCCATTGTCAGACCTCAACCGCTTGACTTTCAAAACAGTTTCATTTTCCACCACGGCCTTCCATTTTCTGAAGGTATCAAAGACTTCTGATTTCTTCTTCAGAAAATAAACCCACACCTTCCTTGTTGAATCATCGATGAAGGTGACATAATATAGTGAGCCCGCAAGAGATGGAACTGGGGATGGTCCCCATACATCAGTATGAACCAATTCTAACCTTTCTGCCTTGGGAGTCTTGCCAATCTTTGTAAAGCTGACTTTCTTTTGTTTGCCAAAGATGCAATCCTCGCATAGTCCGACATCTACATTCTTTATATCCGGCAGCTTCCCTTTTGACAGAAGTATCTTCATTCCTTTCTCGCTCATATGGCCAAGCCTTTGGTGCCATATATGTTTAATTTTCCATCAGCATTTGCTACTGCAATGATATTCTCTAAGTTTGAGGTTACATAGAGAGTACCAGTCTTCTTACCACGAGCAATGACAAGTGCTCCTTTGGTAATCTTCCATTCACAGGCTGAAAAGGTTGTACTATATCCTTCTCCATCAAGCTGTCCAACATAAATCAGATTTCTTTTGAGGCCAGGAATATGTCTCACTCCTGTCAGCTTCCAGGTGGTCTGGTTTGGCAACTTTAGTCGGATGTCTC